TTTTCCGCCCCGCCCGCGCGGTCCGCGGCGGTTTTTCCGCCCCTGCCGCATGGTCCGCGGCCGTTTTTCCGCCCCTGTTGCGTGGTCCGCGGCCGTTTTTCCGCCCCTGCCGCATGGTCCGCGGCCGTTTTTCCACCCTGCTGCGTGGTCCGCGGCCGTTTTTCCGCCCCTGACGCGTGGTTCGCGGACGCCAGAACGGATTAACGATAATTACATTGAACCTTATTGGAAAATTTGCTTTGGGGTGCGACCAATTCGGGGTGCGACCAGAGTCACGGAATGAATTAAATTCGTAACCCGAGGTACCACTGTATACTATAAAATGATTTGTGACATCATTAATTCATATTCCTTATGACGCTACATATTGTATTTTACGGACCACATCAGAAAAATTTATTCAATAAGTATTGTTATCTACCTTCTTGTCCTAAAAAAAAAAAAGGTGAGATGCGGAAAGAGAATTACCTGAAAAGGGACATCAGCCATAGTTTTAGCCAAGTAATAAGCCTTCAGACTGTACCAATAATTCAGATGTTCTCTAAGAAATACTCCCATCTCAAGAGGAACTATGTAGAAAAATAAAAAATAATAGCACTTGAATAAAAAAAATCAAAAGCAACCCTAGAAAGTAATGTTATTATCCATATGTGATAGTCTCCCATTCAGCAGCAAGCAGGAGAAAGGGCTCTTCACTTTCCATTAGTCTAATAAATAAAGGCTTCATCTAAACTAAGAATCAGATCTATCAAAAATACATAATTTGGTACAAAGCTTGCATATATTTATGGAGAAAGCAGAGGAATTGGATTTTCCAGCTCCAGTTCACTAAGCTGGGCTCATACATAACTTTAAGCCAAAATGTAGTTTGCTAATATTTGTCTTTACATGGTAGATACCGTGCATCCACTGTAGTTTGCAAATTGTTTTCTTTCTAATGATTCACTTCCTCATCACACCAACTCTATGCCTGAACTGCTCCACTTCTGAACCCAGATGTGAAACGGGAAGGCTGCTTTGCTAGCCCTGCCTCAGTGGGCTATTCTTCTATCAGAACTTTGCAACTTTTCTTTTGAAAACATTGATTAATAGTCTTTCAATAAAACTATCCCTACTTGGATGCTGTCCTGATCCTTGTCATGTTTAGTCTTTCCTTCATTTGAAATGTATGATTTGAATGTGCGTATTCATTAATATATCATTTTTATAGAAAAAGCATGAATTGGTTTTATTTATATGAATCTGTAATTCTGAAAACTGCAGTATCTTCACAATTTAGTTTTTCAAAAGCGCAATGCATTATTTTACATGTTTATTTCAGGAAATTCTCTCCCGAATATATTATTCAGGAAAATTCAGTTGTCAGAGAAAAAAAAATTAATTTTCCAGATTTCTTTTATACCATAAAATGTATATACTTTTTCTGGTTAATTAATAGTGAGTTTAATATGTTGGAAAACTGTCCTCATATTGGAATAAGGATATTTGAAACACCATATAAATTATAGTATGAGTGGGTCTACTTTGGAAAACATGGAATTCCCCCTCCTTCTATAATATTTTGTAGGCTATTTATAGAAATAAATAGCCTACAAAATATTAGAATAATATTGCTGGATCAGGCCAAACCCTAACTTAATCCAGGATTCATTTCTCACAGTGGCCAGTTAACGGCTTTGGGGTGCACACAAGCAGGTGGCAGAGCCGACCCTCTTTTCAAGTATTATTCCTTGGCAGCTTCTATTGGGGGCATACTTCCCCCAATTTAGAGATAATATTAAGTCTAAGACTTAATATTATCTCTATTACAAGTACCTGTTCTTCATGAATTTATCCAGCTCCATAAAGCTATCCAAGTTAGCAGAAAACACATTTGTGCTAATGAATTTCGCCAGTTAATTATGTAGGTAATAGCACACCAACCTCAGTTTGATCTTTATCATCATGCTAAATTCACATTATGGGGTAACTGAAACTAGAGTATAACAAGGCCATCTTCTTGTTGAAGAATATGAGCAGAGGGTAGAGTGTAATCTTATTAAAACAATAGGATTAGATTATTATTTTACTCTTTTGAGGAACTGCAACCTAGATATCATTTGCTGCCTTGGAAAAGGGAAATATTTTCAAATTAAAATGCCTTTTGACACCAGACGTGAGTCAGCCTTTAATGTTTCACAACCCACTTGATTACTGGAGGATTGAGTATGTTCTTTCAAATAATAAGCCTTTAATAATCCTTTATATATGATTGCACATTGTTTGTTGATCAAGGGGGACTGTTTGATCAGCCAACTGCAGGTCTCCCTCTCCTCCACTTTGGAGCAGCTGGTGGCCCTTTGAATAATCAAACCCTAAAGTGAAGAGACAATTTCCCCTGTTAGTTGCCGAGATTTAGCAGTGAAGGACAAGGATTAGGTCAGGAGACTGGATCTCTCTTTCTGCTGCTGTATGCATTTACTTTGTAGTAAGCTAAAAGGATTAGAGTGAAAGACTGCTTTCCCCCTAAAAACCAGACTAGCTGATTAACTGGAGGGAAGGGAAATAAATAGACAGAGAGAAGGAAGAATTTTAGCTTGTAAACAACAAACTTGCTTTGATTGTTCTCATGTTTGTTGGTGAAAGAGTACTAGCCAAAGTGGTAGATGTAGAATATTTCTTGTGAACCTTGGTTGGAAAATATCAGTCTCTGCTGATCATTCAAGCAGTCTTTTAAAACACTCTGATCTCCACTCACTCCACCCCGGTTCTCCTGTTGGTTTGTTTTTTTATTTTGTTTTTTGAGATAGGGCTATCTTTCATTAACCAACCTGAATGAGAGTAGCTGGGTTGTGGGAAAATGGGCAGTTATCTGACAATACCCCCAATGGAAGAACTAAGCTCTTGGAAACACACGTGGGAAAGAGGAGGGAAATCATTCAAGAGCACTTGAATGATCAGCAGAGAATCCTAGATTCAGAAAGGTTTAAACCCACGCATGTGTCAGCTACCAATCACTCTCCTGAACCTACCCCACGATATAAAGCAAAAGGACTGCAACATTGCCCAGCATCATTGCTGAAAATCTGTAAAATTCAGCTCTGGGAGCAGTGCAGTTTATAGACGTTCTTTCCTGCCAACTTATAGATGGGAAGAAAGTGGGTGTGTGGATTAACTATATGCCTTTTCCTGGGATCACCTGCCACACACTCCATAAAAAAGACACATTTGGCTTAAGCAGATGCAGAGAGGTGTTGGCCTAGAAACCAGGAGACTGTGAGTTCCAGTCCCACCTTAAGCATGAAAGCCAGGTGGGGGACTTTGGGCCAGTCTCTCTCTCTCAGCCCAACCCACCTCACAGGGTTGTTGTGGGGAAAATAGGTAGCAGGAGTATTAGGTATGTTTACCGTCTTGAATTATTTATAAAAAGGCAAAAAATTACTATGATGACGATGATGATGATGATGTACACACCACTGCAAACTCTGCACAGCCTTTTTCCTTTGAATCCAAAGTGCTGCTCAGCCCCAGTGTGTGTATGCATGTAGTATGCACATAACAACTACATGAAGCTTTGCTTGTATTACTGAAAAAAATATAATAGGTGACTTATCAAACCATTAGCATTTTGGCAACCCTCCACCACTGGTGCCCTATAGACAGTTAGAGCTTCTCTTGCAATTCCTTCCCAATGTAACCAAAGGCTAGGAATTTTGGGAATTGAAGTCCAGAGTATCTGGGAAGCAACTGATTGAGGAAGCCTAGTCGGTTGTACGACACTGCTAAAACTCACATGTAAGGACCGTTGGCATGAGAGCAGCAAACATAAGAAACAACATGGAAAAAAAGAGGAAGCCAGAATTGCTCAGGACTTTCTTTGCTTCATTTCCAATCCCTAAATACAGCAAGCCTATCAGAAGTCCAATTCCAATGTGTGATGTCACCCGCAGATGTGTCAGAACCTGTTAGAAAGGAAAATTACCTTTAGGCTTAGAATATTTTTGAGTTAGCAAATCCTGTAGCATGTTAACATCTATACATATACACACACCGTGAATAACAAACAGGATATTTCTGTATAGTGTAGAAGCAAGAATGCAAATAATTTTCTAAAACAATGTGATTTTTGTACTAGTCTAGCCTAAGAGGTTTCTTAGAGGTAATGCTTCCAGTTAATGTTTCCAGTTTGTGAAAAATTAAAATATCTTCCTAAATTTTCTAGTGTGACAAAGGAAGACACCTTGAGGAAACAGGATGTATGTATGCAGGTCTCACTAACAAGGGAAAAGGAGGAATAGAATTGCAGTAATAATCAGATGTGAGACAAAAGTGAGGGATTAGTGAGAAGAGAAAAAAGAAAGAAAGATACTTAGGAAGAGAATACAGGGCTGGACCATGCACTTTGCTGCAGTTTACCTTTATAGTTTTAATTCCATAAACTTCCCAGTATTTTGTGCTCATTCATTAATGTCAATAGGGATGGACTATAAAGGAACAGGATTGAAAGAGTGTGCTGCTAAGAGTGTGGATGAAGCTACAGACAGACGGGGTAACTCAAAGAGGTTAAAAAACAAACAAACCCAGAAGTCTGAAAACTAATAATGTACTTTATGTCCATATTTCCCTTCACATCTCCTTACTTTTGAGGCCTAGTGGTTAAATTATGCAAGATTGAAAGAATCAAACATTTTTTTTATTTTATGCACTTAATATGGGTAATGTGGCTTCAGATGTCAAAACTGATAATTTATAATGTATTTTTCTTTTTAATACTTAAAATATGAGCCTTACCGAATCCCTCATTATGGTGAGAAAAGTTCTTTTAAACAGGATACAAAACTGAGTAAGGCAGCTGGCTGAGAAGCTATGACAGCCTTCCATGGATGAAGAATCCTGGTGCAAAACACAAATGGAAAATGAATTCTTTGTGTTGTTTTGTTTTTCAGGTTCCATCAACAGGATCAACAAACATAACACTGATTCTACAAATTCACCGTCTAGCATTCGGGTAGGCATTGTATTGAACCCAGATGTGGTTTGCTGCAGTTGGCTGAAGGGCAAAATCTTAACTAAAGAAATGTGCTGGCTGGGTTATATTCAGGACAGTTGAAATCTCATTCCATCCACTAACTCTGATATTCTAGCAGAGAGAGAACGTAGCCAAATAATGAAATATATGGGCAAAATGCCAAAATGAGGCCAGGGAAAGAACCAAGCCCAGCCAGACCAGAAAAACATCCACAATGCTGGCACAAAATCAGGCCAGACTGGGCTAGACCTACATTTGTATCAGCTGACTTCTCAGATGGCAGAAAGCTAACATAAACCATTTCCAACACACTGAATCTAACAGGAGCTCCCCCACTTCTGGGCTGCAGGAATGAGGTTTGACCTGGATTCAGCACACGGTCAAATAATTTAGTTCAGGGAGATGTATCTCTTGAGATATAGCTCCCTTGTCAACAACAGGTATTTAGAGGAACACTAAACATAGCCTTTACCACTAATAACTAGTGATATATTTATCCATGCATGAGAAGCCCTTTCTTAGTCTGTCTCAGTTTTTCTGTTTCAGGTGAGAAAGATGTTTCAGAGAAACACTATAAATACTCTGAATAAAATATTTCACATGATATCAAGATTCAGCATATTAAGGTTTTTCACTTAAAAATAACTGAGAGGTACATCAACTATAATCTTAAATCATGTTGTGTTTCACCAGACTTTAATGGACAGGGTATGGTAGAAAAAACTGAAATTAAACTCAATGTTACTAATTCCAGGGACTGGATTTCAGACATAAACTTATTCTGGATGGACTGGCACTCCCACTGGCTGTCCATCATGAATGCTGGATCCAGGACCACCCACAGAGGTTGGCAGTCTATGGGTGCTCCTGGATCCAGCATTCATGATGGACAGCCACATGACATCTGTGGCATGGGGGTTCTTTTACCAGTTTTGACTGTTAAATCAGTTGCACTTCTATCGGAAGAAGAAAGACCTGGGATTGGTAACACATGTACTAATAGTCTCAAAATTGGATTATTACAATCCATTAATTGTGACATGATCCTTGAAGATGGCCCTAAATTGCAGATGGGCCAGAATTTGACATTAGAATTTGGCAACGGTTTAGTTCTGCAATGAAAAAGCTACACTGGTTGTTGGTTGTTTTCTAAGCCCAGTTCAAAGTGCTCACATTGGTATACAAAACCTTTAGTTTGGGGCAAAATTATCTGAGAACCACCCAGATTTCTGTATGATCCATCCAACAGCAGGGCATCTTTTTCACTTCCCATCAGAGATGCCTCTAACACTAATCATGAATTCTGCTTTTTTTTTTCAGAGTGGGGTTTTTATTGTAGAACTAACTGATGAGGTTCACTTTTTATTATAGTTTAGGAATAATTTAATAATAATAATAATAATAATAATAATAATAATAATAATAATAAATTAAATTTATATGCCACCCAACTCCCAGCAGAAGGAAGCATTTAAAACTAAAGAAACTACTCAAAGAGCTGCAGTAACTGACTTGATCTCCTTTATTTTGAATTACCTCCTCTGATGGTCTGTGCCATAAAAAGGGGTTAAGTTCATTTTCTCCTCCAGAGTTTCTCTTGTAATCTGCATCACACATTCCCTCTTGCACAGCTCTTACAAGCCTGCTATTCTGGTCTCCATATTCACCAGAGGCAACTTCCATCACTAAACAGACAGAAGAAAACTATTTAATCTATCTACATGGAAGATTAAAAGTCAGATACATGCAGCATTACTCCTAGTTGTCAGGTATGCACACAATTGTGGAGTTTGCCAACCATCAAGATAAAGTGCAGCAGCATCTACATAACTTGCCACTTTTGCCAGCGTGCTGAAAGCAGCATTGGAATGTTGTGCCACAAACTCCACCTGTTTGGGCCATACATGTGACAGACTGCATCGTGATGCTATGACATGAGTGAAGACAACAGAAAAGAGTCAGGGCTTGCACCATAATGTTGCAACATCAGTCTGATTGTCCATGGCCCCCTACGTCTACAGATGGTTCCCAGGTTACGAATATCTGGTTTATGGATGACCCATAGTTAAGAACAGGGCCTATTGTAGCAGAATTCAAATTAAATACACAATGA